TTGGCTAGACCGAGACATAAGTTTCATCTTGTGTTCGATACTCTTAAATCGCTGTTAAGTCTCATGCTCGCGAGAGAAAAAAGAAAACTAACAAGATATATCGTATATGTATGTGTATCGTTTCTTTTATTTTTCTGTAGTATCGTGCATTTTGCGAGAAAGTACATCACGTGAACGAGAATCGATCCGTTTTTATTGAAATAATATTTATGTTAAGCTCCTGCATCATTACGTACATACGTGTACTATAGTTTATTATGTGATATATATAGTACGATATAGTTTTGTATTTAGGAAATAAAAGTGAAGTTTACAGAAAGGAATACACCTGTCGTTTTAATTATTAGTACCGAGTTCAAAAATGGCACTTGAATGACGTAATTTTTCAATTCAAATGCTACAGACAACTTAAACCAAAAATCACGTCTTAAACAGCAATTGCGACTCTATACGAGGCAGTATCTCATAATTGTATAAATGTTGCACGCTGATCACGAAAATAATTGATATTTAACCCTTTCGATGTTTATGTCGAGTATATTCATTACGAAAAGATTGCTCTTTCTTTGTTTGGTGACGTAGCAAAAAAATTTGCATTTGCTATTGAAGTAAAATTTAGGTAAGATAGAAAACATATTTGTAATTTTTAAATATTTTAGAATACTTAAGACAAGAAAAAAAATTGTCATCAGATATAATTATATACAATTTTTTAAATGAAGTAATACAATTCCATAATAAAATATGATATTTTAAAAAACAACTAGAAAATTTTATCATTTTAATACAATTTATTTCAATTTTATAGCAAATGTACTTGCTTTGCTTACAAATAATTAAGCACATAAGTCTTTGAAATGAAACATTTAAAGGGTTAAAAAATATTTAAAAAGAAATAAAATACCATGAAATACCATAATGAATTATACTAATCTATTTTACATTGCTTTATGTAATATAAAATAATCACTCTTAAGAATGTGCAACATTCTTAATTAAATATGTACAACACCATATTTAAATACTAATGTACTTATTAAGTACAAATTAATAGCTATAGACTGTTTCTTACTAATATTATATATTCTGCTCAATTGTATCTAACCATACCTAATCTAACTTAATTTAAATATATCCCATATAGTATATCCAGTTATAAATTTAAGTTTAAGAAAATTCTCTCTAATTAAGAAATTAATTTAATTTGCTTATATTGCCACATAATATTGAAATATAAATTAATTCAAATGAAATGAAACATTCCGAAAGTTTCTGTGTAAACATTATTTATCAAAAATTTCAATATATGTTACAATGGTTCATGAAACAAACCTGAACCACAATTACAAAATACAAACTCACTTACTTTTGGATTTTGAAGCAACACTTGATCCTTTTTAGGGAACAAAGAGAACAGAAAGGACTGGAAACCTTTTAACAAAATATGAATTATTATAATTTATTCTCAATTAATTTGGTTTGGTATATGGATGTTCATATTATTCACTTCTAATCAACAAATAACTAGAATATAATTGAATATATGTAATATATGTGATATATGTATCACAGAAATATTCGACAATGTATAGACAATTTTCAAAGCTATTGATTATAATTTTTACTTGACGATTTACCTGACAAATTCTGAACGACGTTTCTTCTTGCTGTTTCCCGCCTGAAACTTGCATCCCAATACAATATGGCGCTACAATGTTTACTTAGGTTTTGCGCGCGCATTTCGCACAAAAATGCATCATTATTTAACTTAAAATAACAAATAAATAATCTTTCTATAATTCATTTCGTTTATTAAATAAGATAATTGATTTACTAAAGTGCCTGTAATTTTATTTTCCAAAATTTAGTGTAAATTAAAGGGAGACACGAAACAAGAAACAAAGTATATTGATGTATCTCGTTTGTTCTGTGCTATGACGCAGACGAGCTATATGAATAGACATTGCACCTTACGAACTTTTGTAGCTCGTGACCTGAAATACCGACATACTAAAAAATCACTGGCTTTTTAGAGCACTTTACATTTAAACCACAAACGAGGCACAGACGAGGTATATGAATAGACATTGCATCACCATGTATTTTTGCGGCCATGGTAATACGGTCCGCATAACCATACCATTTTCATGTCACATCCTGTCTTACCGATTTTGCGACTGCAGCACCACTAGTGGAGAAAATTAAAATTAAAAAAATATGAACTATTGCCAGATCTGTTTTCGAGAATTATTTATTGAATTGAATGGTATTTCATCAATGAAGGAATATAAACAGCGAATTTAAAACAGTGACTAATGGAAATTAGGATGAAAAATTTATTTGACTATTAACACTTATTTAAAAATATTAGAAAATATTGATTGAAATATAATATTTTTATGAACAGCATAATTAACTATGACGTTTTTCATTTACAAATGTATAAATTCACGACCTGAATGAAATATCTTTATCCCGTAAACTCGATTTTATGAAAATTTTAACTTATCAATAAAATATTTATGCAAATATTGTTTGCAATAAAGAAGCACATTATGTGTTGTAAACTATTTCTTGCAAAATTCATCCGTTTCGAAATTTCGAAGTCTAATTTTTTTTTTTAAACAATATATATACATATTTTCTTTCTTACAGTATCGATGTTATTTTCTTTCTTACTTTCGATGTTATTTATTAAGACAGATTCAACTCGACGGCTGAAATTATTTATTGTTATAAATTATTAATAAAAATAATATGAAGTATGAGTGATTTAATGATACATAGCATGTTAGCATTAAGATTTTATGTTAATATTTTATATGTTAGTATTAAGAGTTTAAATTAATTGCTCGTTCGTATTTTCCTCCATTCTGATTGCCGTTTTTTCATTAATTTCAACAATCTTTAAATATCATTTAGAAATCGATATCCTGAACGACCTTTTTTTTCAAAAATCACTGAAATCGGTGAGGGAGTAGTCACTTTCACTCACTTTACCTTCGTTATGTGCATAATGACGGAAAAAAAAGCGAATTAAAGTGGCACAGGCAAGTTTCGGTTTTCCTAACGAAAGCATAGTTGCCAAGATCTAAAAGTCTCACATGGTTGCCACATTTCTGTTCTGTCCGTCGACTCGACGAAATGGTTAAACTAGCAAAATAGTTACAGGACTTTTCATATGTTTTCGTATCCGCCTATTCCTCGTCTGTGGAATAATGTTACATCTACATCGAAAATTATTGATTTAAACGTGAACGCTTTCTTATTTGCATAGTTATTTTTAAAAAACGAGCAATTTAATTTTTAACTGTAATATAATTATTTTTTACACAAATTAATATTATATGTCACAGACTTATAAACTGGCGTTTAGTACATATCAACAGAGTTATAAGTTAAAAACTATCGTGCAAATGTTTCATTTTCTAAAAAATATAAAAATTACATATTTATTGTTGCCTTAAATTAATGGGGGCTACAAAATAGTAAAACTGTAAAATTGTAAAATTTTAACCGAATAAAACCTAAAAACTGTAGAATTATTGATTGCTGTAATAGAAAAAGTGTT